AGCCACGTACGCGGCCTCCGCGGGGATGTGGAATATGCAGGACCCCAGGACATAGAAGAGAGACATGTCCAGATAGACCTAATTAGGTAGTTTTTTTAATTTAATGGCGTTTTGGTTGAAATAATTGCATTTAAATACTATACATGGGAAGCGGGTGTCCAGCTCGCTTACCGATTACGTTAATAATTATTTCTAGTCAGTTAATACTCATTATACTCTGACTTTTAAGACATTGTTTTACTGGGGCTTTCTGCCTTTGTCTTATATATCCTTCCTCACCCTTTTAGTATTATAAGTCCTGCAATATTTTATACCAGCTGTTTGTCTGTTAGTTATTATCTCTAAAATTGCTTCCCTTCTACATTAGCATTAGCAATCTTTAAAGCATACTGTATTCACGTCTTTTTAGACAGTTAGCCTATCATCATAGGATTATACAGTGAAGGTGCCTTAAATTCATACTATAAATCAATGCCTGTTTTCACCATTAAATAACTAAATTGGTGGTCTTTATATCTTAAAAGGATGTGAGACTGTATATTGATGGAGTAGAATAGCATGGTAAGAACTAAGCATATATAGCAATGTCAATAAATAAGGGAGGAGTGTGATGTTATTCAAGGTGGTATAATTTATGTATAAAGACTGATTGCTGGTCTTTGAAGTGAAGCCCAGCAATGTGAATATATAGGAGTAGAAGTCAGGTGACTCCCACTATATAGGGCCCTGATCCGTTGTTGCAAGATTTAACAGTTACCTTCCGCTTTTGAAAAAGGCCTGCTCAGGCCTGAATAATCATCCATCCTGCTTGTCAGGCAAGAGGACTGACTATATTAATAATATCTAATTTCTAATTTTCTTTTATTCTCTCACATGTTCTTTATTGTTTCATAGTTTCTCTTATATATATTGTGTTTTTAAAGAGTTAATTTCTAATATTATGCATATAATAAGATGCTCTTTATTATAGCTTTCTTTTCTCTCTACTTTATATTCTTTCTTCATCAATTTCTTATTAAGTTTACGTGCCTTCTCTCATTTGATTCATTAATATTTAATCTTATGATTTTCTATCAAATCATTTACATTTATTGCCTCTGCTGCATACTTTCTCATTCTTTATCTACTGAGACTCTTAATTAATAGCTATCAATACAGTCTTTTCTTTAACCACATCTTTATCTTTAGAGATTTCTCTTAGTACCAATTCTATAAGCCTTTTTAAAGAGCCTATAAGCTCTTCTAATTTATCTATTTTCTTCTCAGACTTTAAAGCTCTTTAGATGCTGGTTTTTTATCAGCCAACCCTGGCTTTTATATAAGTAACTCTCTATGATATATACACTTTCTAAACATCTCTGGTCCACCAGGACTCTATCACCCAGCTGGCCAGCTGGCTGCGCCTGCCGCTGAAAAGTACTATACACTGGTTTTGAAGCTTTTCTCCCACGAAATTGATATATATTATCTATAAAAACAATAGATTATATTTCTCAGGGCATTTGAGCCGATTATGGCCTGTTTTACCACATGTGCTGCAGGTTGGTGGCCGACGTGCTTCCTTCACTATAGCCTCCTGTTCTTGCGCTTTTTGCAATCCTTGAGCACTTTTCAGGCTCCCTCCAGCCTGTATAAATGCCATAGGAGCTGCTTGTCTCTGCCTTTGATGTTTATTTGGTGACCTATATACAGTCACATGACAAAAGTCTACGTAATTCCGCGTCGCGCGACGCGCCACCAGATATTGTCCATCATCTTTTCAACCACCTACACCATGCCTCGCGCCCCTTTGCAGTCTACTAGTTCTAATAGGACTAGTAGAAAGGAATTAGAACCTTTTCAACGGGGGGTTATAGTTGGACGATTCCTTGCAGGCCAGAAAAAGGCCGATATTCAGCGCGCAATGAATTTACCATATACAACAATCCAAACCACCATTGCAACATATCAGTCCTCCACCACTGGCACTAGTTCTCCTTGCATTGGACGGCCAGAGATCCTTTCTGATGCCGATAAGCGATATATTCTTTTATAAATCAAGCGGGATCCCTTTATTAAAACTGAATATATCTGCAAATTACTTGGGATGCCTATTTCTACACGCACTGTTGTACGCATGTTAAAAGAATCTGGGTATGGCCACTGGAGAGCACAAAAAAGACCTCAATTAACTGAGGAAATAGCTAAACTACGCTATGAATGGGCATACGTGCGCAAGGATTGGACATATGAGCCAGTGGAGCAAGATTATATGGAGTGATGAATGCTCTGTTGAGCTTGGCAAAGGGAAGAAGAATCAATGGGTATGGCGGCTCAACTACTTCAATGAAAAATGGGGGGGGGGGAAGCATATAATCCCATACACCAAAGACAAAGGAATATCTATCATGATTTGGGCAGCAATCTGGGGTGGTTGCCACACTGAAATTTATCGAATGATTCGGGATAAGGAATCTGCTCGAAGAGAGTATTCTTCAGTCCTATTTGAAACTTATTGAAGATTATCTACTTGCTATATGGGAATCTAGTATGGAATTCATGCAAGATAATGCTCCCATACATACAACCAATATTATTAAGAATTGGTTTGATGAGCATGGTATTCCTCTTGTTGACTGGCCGCCCTACTCACCTGATTTGAACCCTATTGAACATGCCTGGGCCAAGTTGAAAGAACGTAAATATATGCTCTATCCAGACCTTAAATTATTTAATGGGACCAAAGAGCAATTGAAAGAGCAATTTTATAAGGCCATGGAGGATGCATAGGAGAGTTTAGAACAGGAATTTTTTGATGGATTGGTAAGGTCTATGGAGAACAGTGTTAATGCATTTTTAGAGGCAAAGGGGTGGTATACACATTATTAATATGATTTTTATTTTATTTTATAATTCGTATGCTACTTACCCATTACATATTTAATTATCTAGAAAAAATATTGATGTTTGGTTGTTTTGTGTGGAAAATAAATGTTTTGGTGATTATATATATCTTCGTGGTTGTGGAAAATTACGTAGACTTTTTGCCCAAGAACTATATATATTCCCTTCTCTAAAAATATGTTTTATATCCATTGGTGATTGGATAGACTAATAATAAAGATCAAGATCTCTATATTCTTCTTTCTTAAGTATAATCAAAGAATGATATCCCTATGCTGAAATTATTAGATATAAATAGTTAGTTCTCTTTTAACAGTAGATCATTTTATTTAGTCTAATAATTCACTCTTCTAAGTCTTATTATAATACTCTTCTGCATTTAACTCTTGATTTACCTTGAGTATCTATAAGGTGGGTTCTAGAGTATTAACCTGCACACACTGTTTAATAGTTTTAAGTTTTTATAATATCTATTCATAATACTCCCTTTATACCTCAGTTATTGACTGGCTGAGGGCATCTGCAAGGGTGTATTTGCATTTAGATCAGTATTAAATGAAGAAATAGAATTAGAAGAGGAATTTAGTCTTAATATTAAGCTTGCTGTGCACTCTATTTGATCATGGTACAGCAGCAGCTTGGATCCTGGAACCTCAGTCAGATAGGCTAGGGATCTTCTCAGAGACCTTGCCTAGGCAGTTAAGGAGTGAAATTATCCTGTATGCCTTTGGCCTTGAATAATCTCTCTTTGCTGAAGCTTCCTTCTTCAATACAACCCCTTTGGCTGTTTTCCAGCACCTAGGATGGTAGCTATTCCATATAAGTGATTCATAGAGCCTATGAAACATAAGATATATTCAAGTGAGTCTTTTGAATGATCTTAAGAATATCCCATCTGGACCAGGTGCTTTCTGAACTGAGCTAGTGAATATTGCCTCTTTCACCTCTACTGCTACTTTTGGTCATTCCCATTCACCTGCCTGATAGGATGACCAATAAACAGGTTCAGAGTCAGGGGGTTTTTGGAAAAGAGAAGTGAATACAGCATGAGCCTTATCAGTGAATGCAACTGCAGTAGCACCTCGATTGGCATTGTCCTGATACTTTAAGATGGGAAGTCTTTGAACCTACTACCTTTGCTTTGTATAGCTAAAGGCCTTGAAGATCTTAGATCTAAAAGGACCCTACTTGAATTGCTCCCAATCAGCCTTTTCCAGATTGTATGGTGAATAGGCAAGTGGGTTCTCTACTAATTCCCCCTAGGGGGATAGAGTAGAGCAGAATTTCATGATCAGATCCAAAGGTAATTGTAGGATCTCTATCTCCCACTGCAGCTGCCTTTGATTTAGTCCTTGAAAAATAAAGACCACTCTATAATGGTGTTTCTAGAGTAAAATCTGTGAGAGCTCTGTCAACTCAACTGTTCATTCGTTCACTTCTTTTTGAAGTGACTGCTCATTATAGAATAGAAAAAGTAATATGTCAGCAATTGATATTAGGCTTAGAGATGATGCTAGTAATTTATACTTTTATTAAAGAGATGTTCCAGACATTAATAATAATAGGTTTTTATTGACGTGGTCGGTAAGCGAGCGACGCATCTGATCACGTTAACTATTTTTGAAATCGATTTTATTAACCACCAACGCCATTAAATTCATTCAGCTATCTACTATAGCATTGGTTAATTTTATGCCCTACAGTCCCACATAGACTACACGTTGGTGGACAGCGCGCTGGCCGCTGGCTAGGCGAAATAGCCGGCGCAGCCGCTGCCATCTGAGTGACTATCTCAACTTCAGGAGTCTGGTTTAGGCCGTGAACCACCTGCTGAGCGTCTTCCACTGATAAACAACCTTGATAAGCGATCCGTCTCTTAGATCGAGCTCGTTTTTGCTTTTTTTTCTCATTCGCCGCGTGTAGATCCTTGTTTTCCTGTGCTAGTATCGCACCGGCCTGCATAGCTAGCTGGGAACCCTTGACCAGCTGGTTTAGCGCCCTGCCTGGGGGGGCTATTGCTGTTTCTATTGTATAGAGCTTTGATGGAAGATGCTTGTCGATATAATTGGCGCTGGTTTTGTGGTGTTTTTAGGCTAGAATTGCTGGTTTGGCTGCCTGCCTGGCTACCTGGGGGGGTAGGTGTTTTTAGCTGAATATTCAGCTTCGAGAGCACCCGATCAGGACTATATGGCACTATACCAGTAGCAGCAAAACTATTTTGGATAGTAGCTGGTTTATAGGCCTCAGCACGCGCGCTTGGGTAGGCAGCAAGGAAATCAAGCTTGTTTATATGGTTGAATCCGCAGCGCATTGCTTATCGACCATTTAAATAGCCATAGGCGCGTTTTAAAACTGCAAAACAGCCTACATCTAGTGGCTGTAATAGATGAGACGCATGTGCTGGCATACAGATTGGTATAATCTTGTTTTGCTCGCAGATTTGGTCGAACTGAAGTGTAAGATGGCTACCATGGCCATTGAGGATCCATCCATTAGGTGAAATATCAATACACCAGTTTGATAGAGGTTATCAAACCATGATTCAATAAAGACCTTGCCCTTAAAGATCAGATAGGGCGGTAGTGCCCATCCAGTAGCGTTGATCGTTTCAATTGATGTGACCCATTGCGATTACCAGTTTGCAATATAGGTCGTCAACCATAGTATCCAGCGCGTGTGATAACCCTAGCAGTAGCAGTGAGGCCCATAGCAAAACCGGTCTCATCAAAGTTATATATATCTTCAGATGTGTTACCATATTGTATAATTGTCTCACAATAATTAAACCATTGCTGAACGATCTCTGGTTGGCGCTGAGTGAAATTATATGCCCATTTTTGATTAACAGTCTCTAGAGGGGCCTGGCCGCGCTAAGCAAGCAGAATATTGGCTATTTCTCAAACAGTAGTAGGGCTAGGCACTGTGGGTGACTGTGCCATGTGAATCCATTAACAAAATCCATTGAAGAAGTGTATACTCCTCAGTTTCAGTCAATATGTGATTGATTATGGCAATTGGTATGACCAGCTAGACAGTGGTGGATTGTAGCCTTGGGCATACTAAATCAGTGTGCTGCTTCACACACAGAAGCAATTTGGTCTTTCTGAATAGCTTCAATAGCTAACAAGACCCTATCCTCCTGCTCGATTGAATTTTGAGAAGATTGAGAGTGACTTGGTGGCATGGTAGGCAATAAAAATAATGATTAGGGTGGTTGGGTGAGATTTGGTTGGATGGTGCGTCGCTCGCTTACCGACCACATTATCTATACGAATAGAAGCTGACAATGAGTTATAAAATCTATATAGAATCTATTGATAAATTCTCTGGATTTTTTAAACCTATAAGTTGCTCTGCTTAGCTGATGAAGCTGGTTTGTTAGTCTTAGTATAAGTTAGAATTAAATAGATATTTAACTTAAAAAAGTGTATAGAGTTATAATACCTTATCTGTAATAAGTCATTTAATGATTTACTACAAATGATAGTACAGTCATTCATTCTCTGAATATGTGATAAGAAGTATAAGTAATAGAGTGACACAACTCATAGATCTTGAAATTACAGCAATACATAGAAGAGTTTGGGCTCAGGGTTAGAATAGAGAGTGAATAGAGGAATAAATTACCATTTATCAAAGCTTAATGAAAGACGAAAAATATTTTCAGTGCAAGTCAGTCATTTATCTGAAGACTGTCCTTAGAGAAAGATGCATTTCAATCTAGAATTAAAGAACTTAACGTGAAACCTCACAATACAAATTAGGGCCCCAGACCTGGATAGCAGGAGTCACCTGACTTCTGCCCCTATATTCTGACACTACTGGGCCTCACTTCAAAAGACCAGCAATCAGTCTTTATATATAGATTATACTACCTTGGAATAATATTGCACTTCCTCTCCATCTATTAATATCACTGGATACACTAGTCCTTATCACTATTCTATATAATCTCTAGTCTTACAATTCTAATTACTCTTTATTAAAATAGTCTGACAAAAACTCTATATCATGTCTAAAACATGCACTCTTTAAAAGTAACTTATAATAATAATTACTCTCCTTTAGATAAAATCCAACTTCTAGAATGAAAGATCTAGAAGAGTAGGAACCAATGGAAATGACTGATTTAACTACTAAATATTAAAAATAAAATCTTCAACTTGTCATTTCTGTATAAAAATTTATAATAAAGAATAAAAGAATAACTTAAAAACATTTAAATAACTCTATCTAATAAAATTAATTCACTCTTCAGGTGCAATAATCAAATAATATCTAGGGATCATCTAATAATAATGTACTTAATTGCTCTATATATGCACTCTAAATGAATATAACATTCGTAAGTTTTTATCTCATAAAATTTTAAATTATAAAGTCCTCAGGGCCACTACTTCTTAAGGAGTTTTAATTTAAAGAATGTAATATTTATATGAAATTTAGAAAACCCACCTGAATAATACCTTGAAATGACAAAGAGTATTTTATTATTGATGTTTTTTAAGTCACTAAAGGCATTAACTGGCTATGAAATAATATTATTCTATATGGAAATCTTATACTAGTAATCTATCTAAGAAATCAAACGTAATCGGTAAGCCAGCCGCCATTGTAAGCGAGCCGCCAACCCAACGCGAAACGCGTCCATTAATTAGATCTTACTTCTTCAACCACCCACTATGCCACCAATTCACTCTCAACACTCGAAATTTAATAGAGCAGGAAGGTAGGATCTTAATAGCTATCCAAGCTATTGAAGATGCAAAAAACACTCTATTAGCAAAGCAGCACGCCACTTTTATGTACCCTGAATCACCCTCTGTGATTGACTACATGGCCACCAAAACCAAAGTGAAGCACATACCAACAGTGATAAATTGACTGAAACAGAAGAGCAATTGCTTATACAATGGATAATCTCTTTGGATTCACATGGAGCAGCGACTTGGCCAGCTACTGTATGAGAAATCACCAATATACTACTTGCAGCATGTGGTGATACCCCAGTTCAAACAGTTGGTGAAAATTGGGTTTCAAAGTTTGTAAAAAGGCATTCTGAGCTTTCAACCAGATTCTAAAGGCGCTATAATTCAAGCATGCAAAGTGTGAAGACCCAAAGATCATCCATGAGTGGTTTGATTGCATACAATGTACAATACTTTAATATGGCATTGATCCTGATGATATCTACAACTTTGATGAGACTGGCTTTGCAATGGGTTTAACTGCTACTGCAAAAGTAGTAACAAGGTGTGAGAGAAGGTCTATAGATAGCGCAGTGAGTGTTATGAGAAGTATATGCGTAGTATTCACGGTACTAATCGCTGATGTCCTGTCTTCGGCCATCAGCGGGGTTAAGACTTTATGTCGCGGTCATGTGACATGCGGGAGCTTAGTAACCGCACGTGCGTGTTATGTACATGCATAAGTCCGCTATGCGGCTTTGTATCCTAACACAAGGTCTGATTACTATGGTTGATGATTCCCTTTACAACCTGGAAATCGTGAATGGGTTACTACAATTGAGGCAATTAGTGTATGCATCACTGCATCAGGGGGCCTTGCCGCCATGCATTATTTTCAAAGGCAAGGTCTTTATCAAGTGTTTGTTTGATGGCCTCCCAAATGATTGGCATATTGAAGTTAGTCTAAATGGATGGACTTCTGATGAAATTAGACTTCAGTGGCTTTAAAAGTTCTTTATTCCATCAAAAAGTACTTGTACGAAAGGGAAATATCAACTTTTGATCTTCGATGGCCACAATTTGACCCCAAAATTTGATGAAATTTGCAGTCAAAATGATATCATCCCAATTTATATGCCTGCACATTCATCACATCTTTTACAGCCATTTGATATTGGTTGTTTTGCAGTGTTAAAGCGATCATACAGTCAGCCTGTTGAAACCAGAATGCGCCTTGGGATCAATCATATTGACAAATTAGACTTCTTTGAGGCCTACCCAAAAGCACGAAATGAAGCTTTCAAGCCTGATACTATTTAAGATAGCTTTACAGCAGCTAGTTTAGTACCATTTAACCCCGACCAAGTGTCTTCAAAGCTCAATATTCGCCTTTGTACGCTGACCACCCCCCCTGGAAGCCGGGGTAGCGATTCAAGCCACAATTTTACGCCAAAACCCCCTTTACAGAGAAGCAATTACGCCAACGAGCCTATCAAATTGCACATTAAATCAACTTATCAAAGGCTGCCAACTTGCAATGCACAGCGCTGTTTTATTAATAAAAGAAAACAATAAATTACACACTGCTAATGAAAAGCAGAAACAAAAGTGTACATGATCTAAAAGGTGGATACCTTGTGATATTGGCTTCTCAGTTTCAGAAGCTCATGAGCTAATTGAGGCCCCAATTGAGGCTCTGATTGCACCAGCACCCCCCCC